TCGCAAAGTTATATGTGGGCTATTCCTGACTTTGGCGTCAGATTCGTGACAATTTGTTTTCCTAATAAAAACATATGTATTAATCGTCAATTTACGTACTTATTATTTTAAATTTGGTTGTAGTGCGAAATTGTTTTTTTTTTTATAAATTCAAAGATTCATGGATCTTTAGTAGGTATTGCATTAAATGTACACTTGATAAGTTCAGGTTGCTATGAAGAAATACAGAATATATATATATATATATAAATGGTTTATTATATGAAAATGTGCGTAGAAATACCTATAAGAAATGATGAACAAGTTTTCTTTCTATACCTAGTAGATATCGCAACCAAACAAAAGGGATCTCATGAAATAAACAAAAATAATAATCCTTTTCATACGAAATTCCTGCGTTTTAGATTTTGGATTGAACTTGGATACGCGTCATTTTTTTATTTGTATAGTATAGAGATAATACTCAAGTCAAAGCAATAGCATGCGTCGCTACGGAACTGTTCGTATGCGGATTGCACAAACTTGACCGATTTCTTACCGTAACGTGTACTAATTGAGTATTCTTTTCATGAAACGTCATTGAGTTGGTATTATTGTTTTGGAGAATTAAGGGGTTGGGTAGATATGTCAATGTATTAGGCTATTAACGCAGATAATAAGGCTTAATGAATCAGTGTAAATGTCTTAATTACGGATAATAATCTCGTAAAGTTCTGTCCTCTTCTAATGTTGCATCGCCCGCGTGACTACACTACGTGTCACGCACGTCTTTGTGAATACCCCCTCCCTCTGCCCCCGCCCCTTCTCGGCTGGCTTATCACTGCCAGGCCCAGTAAAAAAAAAACCCACGTACACCTCATACCTATTTCGTCCTGTAACATTCAATTTAAATGTTTGTTTAATGGCTTTGTTTATCTCTTTGTGATATGATTTAATCAAGCATTTGTAATAAAAAGGAGATTTCGTTTAGAATAACATTTCAATTAGACCAGAATAACTAAGTCTAGGTTAGTGGGCTTTATTATACGTGACAAAAATAATGCAAAAAAAAAGATATTTATTTGTATTATACGTTCCGATCAGTTCAGACTGATTTCTCTTTATACCAATAAGGCATTGGCGAATTTTATTAAAATATGATATTGACATACGGTACAAGTCGTTCGATACCGGTTTGCGGTTTGCCTCGCACGTGTGGGAGGTGCTAGGGTGGGGCGGTCTGTCCGTTTAACGCGCCCGCCATGCGCAATTGTACTAGGGTATCATAACGCACGAGGAGCATTTTAATCGTACGTAATACTTTAGTAGTCTTGAATGGGTAGTGGGAGAAAATTAAGATTAAAATGCTTTAATTAGGAAAAAGAGATTTTGTCATTGAAAATTTTTAGTTTCTCATTTCCTAAAATTCCAAATGAAAGGCAGCGCCGCGACGTTTTTCGACATAGAAAATACTGTGTTGTAATATGTTTATTATATAACTAACGTAACTACCCATTAACAATAATTAATAAACGGTTTCTTAATAGGGTTGGCGAATTTAAAACAATAATAATTATATATTCAGAAACAATGTAATTGAAATAAAAATATTTTGTTTTCTTAGCGCCTCGATCTAATTAGAGGTTGTAATAGGGTTCCTTATTACACAGCTCAAAATAATTTACGTATTCAAGTATGATTTAAATCTAGCGGTCGTATGAATTACATTTATTGACATTACATAATTAATCAACAGCACGTCAGGGTATACAGAACTATTAAATTGCCCCCACTTGATTTTAATACTTAATGCACTTTGAGTTCAAAGTCAAGTATGGGAATTTGACTTATTGTGGTAACCTGACTTGCAGCCGTGTATGAGTATACGCTCATCCGAATCAAGAATTTTGACGTTTATTTCTAATTTGATAATTTGTATTTTTATTATTAGCGTGATCACACTATGAGTATAAATGTAATATTCTTTCATTATAAATTCACAGCATAAATAAAAAACAACTCGATCAGTGTTAATTTCAAAACGAACGTCATATATGCTGTCATTACCAAATTGTTCGATATAAGTATAAAAAGGATCATAACATAACGTCGGTAACATTTTTCGGACAGCCTGTCAGGAGGAAAGGACGGGGGTATCGGTAGAATGACGCACGTCAGAGCCCCACCTCGGTTGCATAACCACCCTACCTTTATATTATCCTGGTAGACACGGACTGCTGCGTTAGACAGACAGTTTGTTGGCAACATGTCTGGCAACACTCCGTGATATTCTAGAAGTTGCGTTTACAGAAGATATATTATGTATAAAAATGAACATTAACTTTTACAAATGAAACAACATATTTATGTGTCAACGCGCATTTTGATGACGTCAACTGTAGTCTACGCAAGTTTAGGTAAATGCATTACACACATGTACGAAGGATCAACGTTTTAATCGTTGAATTATAAATAAAATATATTGAAGGTTTCTTTCCTTGTTCTGTAATTATTTATTATTCTCAATATAGTAAGTTAATATACGTAGTTATTCCGCTAAATCAATATATAGATAGAAGAATATGATGTGTAACTTTTCTAAGTATTATCCGAAAATTCCAAAATCAAATACGGATAAAGTAGGTAGCAGATAGAAAGAAGCCCGTCGTATTGTGATACAGAAAACCGTATACATAATTGACTGTATTTAAAACAGTATCTGACTTTGGGAACAATTTAAATACACATCGACTTTTACAGTTATCAGCACTGCAAGATACTTTTCTAAGCATCTTTATCGTTTAGCAATTATGAAATATTTACAAGAATAATCAGCGATTAGTTCGAATTCGTTGTTCTCTAACTCTGTAATTTTCAGTGGGATACCAGATATTCCTCTTGCATTTTATTGATCAATTTTTGAGTAAAGAAAGTATACTATATTATTTCACTAAAAAGCCACTAGAAACGAGCTGAGAGCGACTGTAATAGGTGAAGTGATGCTGCTTAATGTGATATTTTAGAAATTTACCTCTACTAGGTGTCAAAGATGGTATTCAAACTTTTCACAATCCGGCTTCTCTTGATGATTGAACTATCCGACACTGAAAGAATTCACAATTAGTTAAAAAATAATTATTGTACATCAGTTTTACAATATTGACGGTAGTCGAATCTTCAGTGAAACTTACTGAGTATTAAGACTAAGAAAAAATTACAATGCGACATATTGTATTGCAATAACGTCTACATCAACATCTAAACATTGATTACATAATAGGAAGCTGAAATTGCTTTCAGTTATGTTTTATTTATTTACAACATAAAAAATCGATTTGTTTTTTAAGCATTTTTCGTTAATTAAGATTATTTTTCAGTTTTTTAAATGCGAAATTGTAAATGCGAAATTGATCAAATATAATAATCAAAAGAATGTTATACGGGGGCAATATCCGACGAGCCCATTCTTTTCACCTTCATCCAGATGACAGATAGGACACGTACCCGACTAAAACGCCATATTGAATTTAATTCTATAATTTATGGTTTGAATAAGTAAACGGGAGTGATAGCTCCGTGATTTCAATGTCATGATGTCATTAACCTCAAACCTTTTGTCTAATTCATATTGAATAAAAATGTTATACAAATTACCTTTTTTTCCCTAACGGTTAATATATTTTGATATCAAAAACTTACATATATATAACATAAAACTTTGATATAGTAACTAATTTTAAATAGTATTTATATTAGAAGAAAATAGTATTTAAGACACAGAACATCGAAAAGAGGCATTTAAGCTGAGATGTTTAAAAAAAAAACAAATTTATTTATATGTGTTTCAGTAATATGTGGAAACAAATGTCTTTAAATAATGATATACTTAGTAATAAAATAAGTTATATGTTATATCTGTATTCTGTGGCGTATACGATAATTCAGTGCTACCACAACGAATTTCAAGTACGGAATTTGAAGGCAGAAATATCAGAATAATTTATTCAACTCTTAATAGAAAAGAATTTTTACGTGTAGTTGGGCTAGTAATAATACGATTGTGGAACAATTTATTTATTAATTAAGGAAGGAAGGTACTTTAAATAGCACATTCTAATAAACTGTAATTAAATTACATAATAATGCAAGCTGGTTTTGGCAAACATGACGACGGACACAGCCCTAGAACTTAATAAAAAAAATTTCGTAAAGCGTTTCTATTCTATGTCATTGCGTGAATTCACAATGAAAAATATTCATGACATAAAACACACAATTTATCAAACTCATTATTTTATATTTGATTCGTGTTCTGTATCGCATCGGTACAATAATTATTACAATCATGTGTAGTATAGGTATTATTGTTGTTATCAACGTGATAATGAAACAAAAACAAGTCGACACAAACACGCCGGGTGTTCCGACAAACGCTTTATCTATGAGACCGGTTATGTCGCATACTCTTTATTTTTGTGATAATTCTGTAGCAGCTGATTTTTGGCATGCCACACTCTGTTGTCAAGACGGAAACACGTTTGCTTCTACACTCGCTGACGTCACCCCAACCAAACCACGCCCCTTATTATGTCTCTTTCATTTCAACCGCCATAATAATCTGTCTCATTTTACGCGGCAGCATGGCCACTTTCTTTGGCACAGCAAATTATTTTTTTCTTAATGTCTAAGGACATAAAGCTCATTTTTGTATGTGGCGCCATATTCACCACTGACACCGTCATTTGTTTGTATGGCTGCACTCTTCGCACATATATGGCGGTCTCTTACGTTCGGTCACGGTTTCGAACTCTTGCTGTGTTATGTTCGCCTGGTACTTTACCGCCACGGATTGCAGCCGCCGACGAGCGGTTGACACGGGTTTGACAAGTGCTGACCGTGATGTCTCGTCGTGAGAGGCATCGACAAATATCTTCAGCAATAATTGTTAACGCTACATTAAAACTATGTATGGTAATGTTATGGGTGTTTATTGATTAATTTGACGTTGGCTTTGTTTGCAGAGGAGGAGCCAAAGTCACCGGTGTCAGTGCGTGTGGTGACTGGGTTGCCGGTGACGCCGCGCAGCAACGGTGTGGTGCGAGCTACGTCGCCGATGCCGGTCGCGCCCTCCTGCCCACCGGTAACCCCCGCTGTCGCCTTAGAACCGGTGCCAGCACCTGTTACGACCGCCTCCGCGCCCGTCCTCGACTTCGTACAAGAACATTCCAGGCCCCGTACCACGAGTAGTAGCCATGGGTAAGTCATGCTTTATTGTTATTCTCGGTGTCAGAGCAGCTGAGCACTTGGCGCCTATTTAATTAGTTGTATCACGAGATTCCTTGTCTCAAAGTCGACGGTAAAAGCTATAACCAGTTAAAAACACATTAAATAACGTTGTTGACAAAAGTTAATCAAGTATGTAGTCGAGTAAAAATATATTTTTTATAATGTGCTATTAAATTGATATTATTTTATTATAAATATTATTCAGACCGTGAAGATATTAATAGAACTGCTTTCATTACTTAGTAATCTTGACCTGATGAAAAGTAGTTGTATTCATGTCTTTTGATGTAGTTTGACTGCACGTGTCGCCACATAATATAACATATTTTTTGTATAAATTAAATTTATTTACATTTATTATATGTACATTTGGAAGATTTAAAAAGCAAAGGATTTTTAAAGAAAAAATATGTTACTGCATTCCAGTTAAATATCTTGTTCGCCAAATACCTTAGGACTCAGCCCCCATATTTCTTGTCGTAAGATATGATAGGATTTTATTGTATCTCTAACGCAAGATCATACTCTGGCAAGAACCCTAGTTTTGAATGCTCACGCAGCTACCTTTTATAAATCCTTTATACGAGTATCATAGCTTCATAGCCATCAGAGCTACCTTTTATAAATCCTTTATACGAGTATCATAGCTTCATAGCCATCAGAGCTTAATTTATTTATATTTAAGCAATAGCCGCTAGAATCTTCTACACCTTAAATTAAAAACAAATCTGATGTAAGGAGGTCGCAATAGAATTTATAGTTTATCCTTGTTAAATCTACATGTGATATAAGTGTTTTTCCAACTATTGCTGTCAAGGATTGATTTTTAAACTACGTGAATTGAATAATATATTAATTCTTGTATCAATCAACTCATCCAATAGTACTTGAGTATGTATTATAAACTAATCGATTTTACCCATTGCTTGCATATTGTATCCTCACGCTGTTATATGTCGAGGTCAAATTGTAAAGTGATCCTTTATCAATGGAGATAATACACTAGTGACTTATTACATTAATATTTGAACTTTGTAAACGTTTATTTTGTTATGACTCGTATTGCATTCTAGTATTTAAAAAGTTAAATACATTCATCAGTGGTACACGATATTCTCAAATCTATATATTTCAAGTAATCTTATAGTAAAATATAAAAAAAAGAGATATATACCACTGTCGACATCGACATTGAAGAGATTGTTCTTTGCAGGCCGCTCCAAATCCCATCCCCTCCATCGGTGAGTAGCAGTAGCGGAAGCAGTAGCAGCAACTGCAGCGCACCACGCGCTGGCACACGAGAAGTGCACAACAAGCTTGAGAAAAACCGAAGAGCGCACCTTAAAGAATGTTTCGAGTTATTAAAAAGGCACTTGCCCGCAACACCAGATGACAAAAAGACTTCTAATTTGTCTATACTTGGATCCGCCATTAGATATATACAGGTGAGTAAGTTTCATTAAAATCATATCGGTATGCGTGAACTGATGGTATAAGTGTGCGGTCATACGATGCGCTGACTGACTGAAACTACAAACATGGCTGATGTTGCGGCAGCACGGCATATAGACGCGAATGCTTGACGCTGTATGGCTATAATGTATGACGCTTCGAGTCATGTACGTATCGTATGGACTGACACTTATAGTAAAATTTCAACTTAACTATTTGTTATATTTCGTTTATATTATTTTGTACATTGAAATATATTCAACATTCTACTCATTTATTAATTATTTTTGTTTCTTGCATTAATCACGACATAATTATAAAAAAAAATCCTTCGCAGCGCTTTATGTGGTGGTTTATTGAATCAGATACATGGTTATAATTTTTTAAATAATTTCTTTCTGGGCCATCTATTCCAGTTACGTGGCTTACATTAACTATTTAGTTTATCTGGTAAAAAAAACGTACCACGGAATTGACGCCAAAAACACTATTCTCAGGTTTCACCCATGTTTGTTTGAAATTCAATAATAACTCCCGAATTGTGTTCACCATGCATAGAGTATGTAATTAATTAATTATAAAGGTACATTGTCTGATTGAATTGTTTGTAAGCTTACCGGGTTACTTTCATCATAATTTGAATTAGATATATTTACTGCGATATAAAATGGTTTATCTTTTCATAGACCTTTTAGTGAGTAATATTTTTAAAATTATTGATGTTGCAATTTTTATGCAATTCGTCTCTCTTTCTTAATCCTTTTTCACACAATTTCAAAAATAAGTTTTTTAAGGGTTACAAAAGCTTCACGTTTTGGAAGTACTGTTTTCCCATTGGGCAACTACTGTCGAATAAACGTGTTCGGATAACATTGCGACAGAAAGTTATTTTGACTCTGTGACTTGAATTCTTATGTAAAATTACTCGTGACAGAAATAGTCTGATTTCTTTTTATTTACCTAAATACATTATAAATCAGCGCTCAAATTATTTAAAACATATTTAAACCATCTTTTACACTAAATCTAACAAAATAGTAAAATCTGTATGTCGACGCCAATTGGTCGTAAAAACATGCTATTTTATTTTAGCCTAACATTATCGCGAGTGTCTGGGTCTATACGAATAACGTGCATTTCCGTGTTTTTAAAGTCCTCTGAGACTGCCTAGACAGATGGATCATTTAGTCTTTGAATTTTTATTAATATATAATAGAAAATGTTTATTAATTTGCATATGTATACAATAAGATGCAGTGCTTATGGGCATGGACCAATTTATCCATGGTATTGGTAAGAAATTTGTTAGAGCACTGTTAAGATTATTTACCTTCAACCTAGGGTTTGATTCTTCAAGCTTCTGACCAAAACATAAGAAAGATAATGTATATATTATATTATATAATGATTAATCGATGATCAAAATGAATACTTAAAAACCGCAAAAACTAATCAAAGGTAATATATTTTTTTAAAGTAGTATTAATAATTCTCAGGCATCAAACCATTTCTTCTTTTTAATGAAACCTAGCAAAGTAAAATACTAAACAAGAAATAATTGAAATTTGTATTTCAAACTAAAAAGTTTCATAAGACCTTCTTTGCATTGAAGAAGTACGAAGCTACTAAGGCTCCATAAATGCCCAGTAATTAACAAAAACGTAACGTAACCACGTCCTTACTTTAAAAACATTTCTCAAGAAACGGTCATTTGAAAACAAGTCAATACTTCTTCAGAGCGCGCTTTCTTAATACGATCATTGTTGGGTTTTCTTACAAAATTGTTTGCAACTTTTTATTTAGTAATTATTCAATGTTCTTCTAACTTTCTTTTGTTAGTTGAGTGTGTTGTTATTACTTCTCGTCTGTTGTACTTGCATTGACTTTGACGTTTTTGTTTGTCGTTTGGTCTTGCTTAAAAGTTTTTGTTGTTTTCACGTTCTTTCAAATCAAATTTTATTATATAGATTTTTGTTTTAAATTGTATTGACAAAGTTAATCTCAAAAATGAAGTAAATTGTAACATAATAAACTTTCCAGTTTTAAAAACATTTTGTTTTAATCTGCGTCGAAGAGTTTATAAACTTGCCGAAGAGTTTACTCATCAGTTTTATAAACTTGTTTTAATATAACTATGTTATTTCATAGATGCAAACAAAATGTGAGAAGCCACGGCAACGAGTTGTTTGATATCTATGGTAACATTTCTTCTCGCTTCATATGCCCCTGGTACATTATTCACAGGTGCTACGACGCAAGGAGCGCGAGTGCGAGCATGAAATGGAGCGGCTGGCTCGCGAGAAGATCGCGGCTCAACAACGCCTCGCTGCTTTGAAGAGAGAAGTGTCTGTGCGCGCTTCGGTTCGTCCCCGGAGTATAGGTACGTTACGTTCGCGCAATTTATGCGCTCCTAGTACACGTGATAGTGATTATTTAATATTTGACGCTTATAACCAGCTGCTAAAAGAACTTTAATAATAACAATAACTAACTATTAGCGTCTCCACATTGAAACTAATAACGATCGATATATATTTTTTCGACATAAACAAGTAGCGCTAGTGTAGAAGTATAGATAGAGATTGTCGCGTATTCTCTTTATTCATAAAGTAGTTGACAGTGAACAATAATAGTGAGTAAAGTATGTATGTGAAAAAAATAAATTATTTGTTTATTTCAGATCCTACTTCAGAAGACAAAGATAGGGACGAAACTGTCACTAATCAAGTTTTAGGAATTCCTATAAGTGTAAGTTACTTATGTAACTAAATTATTTTAGAGTTTGACGTCAATTATCGGAATCATTTAATTAATATTACAATGTTGTGTTAGCACATAATTCAATTATGATATAACAAAGCCATGTAATGTTCCCGTCTTTGCACTGCTGAGAAGACTTCTCTTGTCGTGTTTATACTCGTACTAATAACAATTTTCGTTTCAGATTACCTCTTCGCCGCCGCGATCCATAGCACGAATGGAATCATCGCCCCCCCGTACCCTAAACTTAAGCACGAAGTTGCGCACGTTGCCAATCCAAATAACGCCAACCACCTCGCAGGTATGGACTCCTGGTACTGCGTTACAAACTAGAGCTGACTAATCTTTGGATTAGAGTTAGTGAGGAGTCGGGGAAGTTTAGGAATTGTTAAAGCTGTGAAGCTATCTTTGTATAAATAAGAGAAATATTGTTACTGTACTCCTGTAGATGGCAGTATAAAATTCAAATATGTAGATAATTTCGCAAATAGTAAGGAATATTGCTTCCTCCGTTGACTAGGCTTCGGTTATGATATTGCCAGGGCAGGTCAATATTATCAAAGGTCATTTTATATAGATATTGTGGTAGGTTCGGGGATAGTACCTCCCGAACTACATAGTAGTTTTTGTAGAGCTAACACAGAAACATATCGTTTATTGCTTTAAGGCTTGGCTGTATAAATATGCTTAGCTCTTATGAATCGTAGATTGTTAAATAAGGGGATAAAACGAGTCATTGTATATTAGGTAGTTTTACTGTATACTAATTAGTTAAAATGAGTTTTGACGCCATATGTTACGTACACACCACTTTTCATCTCGAATGCGAAAAAATAATAAATTACGTTTACTAAGCCCATTTATAAAAGTAGAAAAATTCTTAAAAAATATATCCTCTTTATGGTAGAGTCAGCTATTTTATATATATTTAGCCTGCAGATTGACATTTTGTCTTTGAAAAACTTGCAACGCTGAGTAGAGATGTGAGACTGAGACTTTATTATTCGTATGTTACCTTTCTTGTATTACTAAGTTGACTGGGCAAAATCGGGAAGTCCATTTTCGATAATAACCAATTTTAACGTGTCTTCTACAACTTGACGACGACTAGAGGTCAATCCTCTGTATCTTTCTTTAGTATTTACGTTTTTAAGCTGTCAATTTTCTAATCTAGGTTCTACTGAATGGTAAACTTACTGTGGATAATGTCCAATATTTGCAGGTGGTGCGGACGTCGTACGGTACGAGGCATAACACCCTTACATTAACCACGCTTGCACCGGCGGACACTGCCAATCAGGTAATAAGGAATTATGATACATCTGCCTAAACTCAGTGCGTCTTATTATAAAAACAAGGACTGACTTTAGTACCAGATTCAAACCATTATCCGACCAATATAAGTAACACGACTCAATTTTATGTTTTCTCTTCTCTCATTGTTTGCAATTTACTTTAGGCTAACGGTTTAAATCAAGTACTAACTAGTCCTAGTGTTATAATAAGACGGATTAAGGAGTTCATTAAACCTTTCTGATTCTAGGGAAAAAAGTTTAATATTTTTTAATCACAAGTGATGCTGATGATCGCTACCTAACGCTTTCACTACAAAGAACGTTTTGTTTTAGAAAATGGAACTAGTAAATTGGCACAATGCCTTCATTGCGTTCTTGTTAAAGAAGCAAAAAAGCACTAACGCGAAATCTTTAGACTTTTTCTCTAATTAAAAATTGCATTGTTGCCAGTAAATTATTTAAAATTGTATAATATTATTTTGTTCTTACGCAATCGAATTGAAAATTAGAGATTAAGACACAGCGATAAAGTCCATTATAACTCTACTAGATTTTGCCCGCGACTTCGCCCGTGTGCGAAAAATTTTAAGTCCAGCCCTGCTATTCTGTAACAATCCAGACCCGAATTCGAATTCACTCATGTGTCCGAATTCTAGTCATTTAGTAAAGAAATCCTATTGATTCCATTTTTTGTATAAAAATACTAAACAAAATTGACTGATTAAACGTGTCATAGATACTTTAATCCTATATCATTTCGAAACTCACTTCACTTATTTCACGAAACATTATTACCAATTCAAGTTTGAGCGGATGCCGCTTTTTGAAGAGAATTCGGACACCCGAGTGATTTCGAAATCGGGTTTGAAGTTTTACAGAATCGCAGGGCAGAAATGAGAAAATTCCATAAAAACTATCATCCCCTAATTTACCCCCTTAGAGGTCGAATTTTCAAAACTCCTCTCTTAGTGCTCTTCTACATACTCTAAGGAATCTTCATTCCAAATTTACATTTTCTACGATCAGTAGTTTCGAATGTACGTTGTCTGTCAGTCAGTCAGTTAGTAACGCAAGAATTTTATATATATAGATTTCCATTCACGGAAAGTCATTTAATTTTGTTTTGGTGAAAATGAAAAATATTAATTTCCGATTTTAGTCCCATAACTATTATAATCTAATGGTCCAAAATGTAGAGAATATGATGGGTGTGGTAGAACACACCATTTAGGTTGTAAAAACTTATCAAGTCAACAAAGTTGTATGCTATGTTGTTATCGAGACCGCACAAATACATCTGGCTAATTTTGTCATAGTAAACCTAAATATATAGGCCACAGCCAACGTACAAAATTCTCCCTGTTTGGCGACTGGATAATAAAATAGATAGGGACAATGGGTTTAGTAGGTAGGCTTCTTTCCTTTGATTAATCCATTCGGGGGCGGGCAAAGGATAGTGTCATATAAATTCGCCAACCACTGTCATAATACAAAGGTTCAATCAAATAAAACCTGTTTCAAAAGGTAATAAACATTGAAGCTCTATGCTGACAGCGATGCGCTCGACGTCGAGTACGACGCTGTTTTTGTTATAGAATAGTATAGCTGGTATTTTCTGTTTGATAAAATCATTTCTAGTTGATTGTGGTATGTCATAGATTATATTTTCTACAGGTACCCAAAATCCCAACATTTGTCAAGATTATTGTTATAAAAATGACTGTTTGGGTACTGAAATTAGGCTTAAATTATACTCACAAGAAAGAAAATAATTTTAGCATTACTTTCCAATTAATAAGGGAGTCATTTGCTGGCGTATTTCTTTCCAAATCATATAAAATCAATAGCTGATAAAAACGACCAAAGAGTAAAGTATATATCCATGAATATTGCTATGGGTGTAAAATTCATTTCGACTTTTTTCATAATGTTGTTGCCGTATTTTTAAATAAATCGTTTTAATAGTCCTAATGTTATTTGACGTTGAAAAATGACAATAGTATCTTTTTTCTGAGTAAATAATAAAAATAAGTGGTTACGTTATCATTGATAAACAAGGAAATGTCCCAAAATTAGCGTCTTTGTTTGATCTGTCTGGCAGAATATATATTCAATTTGTTTATAACTAAGTATAAAACAATATAAGTATGTATAGATAGGTGCTACATAATTTTTCTATCAAAAGTGGATGTTTTGCTTTTGGGCGCTCTCCACTGTGTAATATTGAAAAAAATGTAAAGTTTTTATATACATTTTCAACCGGATCAATACTGTTATCACACTTTTATCACTCATGTCACTCACACAAATTAAAACTTGGCAATGAATACACGCTCTTGCTCATGCACACACGAATCTCAAATGGCTTCAACTGTTGTCGTTGCGCTTTGTAGGGGATGCGGAATCCGGATGTTATATCGCTCACTGAATTGTACAGTGGCACAACTCAAAAACCATTATTTCGACAAAACGCCACAACATTGTGGTGGCATCCCATAGATAATTTAAAGAAAAAATAAAATACTCAACAGTAAATAAAAAACAGTAATAATATAATACAAACGATTTAACTGTTATGCTAAAAATTGATTTTCATAATTATAAATATATTAAATTTTGATAACTTCGGAGAGCGTTTCGAAATATGGTTTTTGAGTTGTGCCACTGTACTATTCAGTGAGCGATATAATCTAAGTGGTAATGTACCTTTCAGAATGAATCGTGACATTTTCCAGTAGACGCTAAAAATTCTTCTTAAATCCTACCAATTGATTAATTTCGCCTTAATATGGAAAGTGAGTAGCTCCAATGTAAGACAAATTGACCAGCAAATGTCCGCGGTGATAAACCTTGATATATACCAAAATAACGAACATAAGCCATTGAAATAATTATAGGTGAAAGATATTTTATAGTTTGTAAACTGAAGTCTTTAGATCAATTTTACGCATAGGTAATTGTGAGGCGGCGGGCGTGTAAATTGCGGGTAAAGTCGCGGGGTCTTAATCCGAAATGCGGTTAGTTTACATGTAAAGACTGATTACAAAGAAATAGTAATAAAGGTACACGCAATAGGACTGATATACCACCGAGAGTACTTACCGACTTATGAACACCATCGGGACTCGAATATGTACCTATTTCATTTCCACAATTAGTACGGTTTCCTGTCTGTGTTTTATGAGTATATTTTGCGGGAATTGTATTTAAATTATCGATTTTTTCCGTCCAATGCATTTTCACGCGAGCAAGCAATTGACAGTCTGGATTTTCTTCGTAATAATCGAGTCACGGCGTATAAGCGGCTTGCAGTGAGGTTGCATATGTATATGCAACCTCTTTTTAGGTTAATAGCACCTTCGGCGGCGACACAGAACACCAGATTAAAAATTCCATTAATGGTGTAATTCAGTGGCAGACTAACCTCATCGGAGGCCCGGGGCGGCAATAAGCCTAGGATCCTTCAAAGGTTCTGTTCACATATGGGGCAGGTGTTATAAAGTAAACATCATTTGGACACCTTAAAATTTAATACATAATATTAATATTTAAATCAAATTTCCAAACATAAACTTAATTAAATATTAATAATTGATACACAATATCTGCCGCTGAGTGTTATCCACAAGGTCTCTCTTCCACACCATTACAAATCACAATTGTCTCAGTACACTTCATCAAAATGAAATTATTCAAGAATCCATGGCCGAACTTCAACAGTACTTTACCGGAAAAATGGATGAATATCAGAGTGAGTTTCAAGCTGCATCCCCATCCCTCAACATCAACAATCTGAAGAGTGATTTCGCTGCATTTCGGTCCTTTATCTTGACAGTACGACAAGGATTACAACAACGAGTCGGTCTCCTTTCACATCAGGTAGACAATATATAAATGCGGAGCCGGCCGAAAAATTCTGTTGTGACAAGGTTTGCCCGAAGTGAACTAGTGCTATTGTTGATCAGTGCGTCTGGGAATGGTTAGCCTAGGCCCATTCTTTTAAAAGTACACGACACCAGTTTGCGGGATAAAATCTGGTTCGCTAAGACGGCGCTCAAAAAGTCAGGGTTTACCATATCAGAGTTCCTTTCAATATTATTAACACCGTTACCCAGTGCGGGCGAGCATCTACTGGTGGAAGTTACTCTATCACATACCAAAAATCGTCTCGGAGTTTATTATAGCCCGTTGCGTGTTAAATTTTTTGATACTTTTGCGAAATTTCTGGATGATTTTGTTCCTTTTCTTACCCACTCCATTATTATGGGACATTCAATACCTGCCTCCAAAAAATGACCACCGCACTTCTTCTCTTCATAGAGTTATCAATTCAAGCAACATACACAACGTAAGTAACATTTAGAGCTACTCATCATTTTCCTAACTCTACGCCTTATTTTCTTGACTTGTCTATAGTTTCATCTCCAGGGTATGTTGGAAAGCACGATCAATGTTCAGCCGATGCATTTTCTTATCATGCTCTTATGTATCACATAAAATTCGTCCTCCTAAAGTTAACCCCAAAGTCATTTATTTCTTGACGAAACTCCGAGTATTGATTCGTATCCAGTATTAGACGCAAGTTGAAGCTTTCAATTCACGGGTCATTCAGCTGTATGACAAGTAGGCACCTTAGCGGTTTAAAAAATTCAAACACTTCTCGCTCCGTGGCTTACTGAAGATATTAAATCATTAATGCATAAAAAGGTGGTTGTTAAAACTAGATACAAATTACATCCAAGTGCTTATAATAAAGAGGCATACAGTAAAGCCCGAAATCGCTGCAATTTGGCGTGTACGGGTGCGTTACGCCTTTTCCTTTTATTTTCAACAATCAATACTTTAGTCTTATGTGAACACGGAACCTGTGTAGGGCTGAAACGTCAATAAAACTAAATACAAACGCGATGAAACCGTTTAAAAATTGTTTCATTTATAAATAATAATTCTTATTCATTTATTTCAAATTTTTATGACATAGCAATTTGATAAAATTTATTTTAGTAAGATTGCGAATATCACGGTATGGATGCTGAGGGATTACTACTAATATAAATTAATGACTTCTACATCATCTTATATTGTTTCAGAATGGCCAACCAGAGAATGGTGTTACGAATACGCTTAGTACTTTAATGCATCCCACACAGATACATCTTCCTATATCACAAGTGAGTAGCTGTTGGTTTATCACACCGACCTCAAAAAAATCGGTATAATAATATTTACCATTAAAATTTTGTGATAATGTTTCTCTTTTTTACAAGTCTCGAAGTCGGTTTAATCTTTGTTTTGTATTATGGCAATAAAATCTCACCTGCGTACTTAAAACAATAACATCAATAAAGGTAGACGACGAAAAGGTCCACGTTATATCCACTGTTTGTAAGTATACAGACCTGATTTAGTTCCCGGTAGATTTGTGTGATGTGTATTATTTATCAATTCATTACAGGTAATGGGCAGCGGCGGACTAGTGGTGGGCCCGGCGGCGTTACAGCTGGTGTCCACTAGCGGTGGCCTGCGCGTGCTGCAGGCGCCCATACATACCAACGGTCAGTCATGTTGCCCTGGTACTTTACTATTTTAGTAAAAGAGTCAGCCAGATTATAACCGGCTCTTATCCTAAAAACTTTTTTTGAGTCTTAGATTTTTTTTTTATTAAAAAACAAGTGTTCCTGACAAAGAAATTTTTGTTATTCTAATAAACATATTATATAACATCCTACCAGTTGCATAAACGTCTATTAAAAATTTTAAGTGACATTACCATACAAATTTGACATCCATTATAGCTTAAAGGCGTCGTTAAACCTTAATGGACGTTTGTGCAACCGACCCATAGTCAGCTACAGTATTATAAATAATATTTTTAGTATCGATAGTATTGATATTATAATAAAGATGTTTTAAAGGGCAACTATACAATACTTATTAGAACAATAGCGCCATCTGTAAACAATAAGTTCTACCAACTTTAACGCGATAGGAAAGCAAAGAAATACGATACACTCACTAGTAGTTACCAAAATAATGTTATTTTATTTAACTTAATTTTCAGGCATAACAGGGGATAATCATAGGAATCACAAAGAAAACGGTCTTGTTTCACCGACTCCCGTATCCACAGGTATTTAAGTTACATTTTAATCTTATAAGATTTAAACATCTCAAACATCTTTGGCTCTAAAACATTTTATGAAAGTAAATATTGACGCGGAGCACTATTATAAAACAAATGTTGTTTTGTGTGTGTGCTATTTTAATAAATTTAATACATATTTCACTTCAACTCCGATAATTCGCCGAAATATGATCATTATTTTCGTTGACCTCCAATTTATGCCGTGCCAACCCTAAACGAGTACCAGCGTTTAGGTTCGTAGGGTCATAGATGATGAAAATAAAACGGAACGACATATAGACAAACAAAACAATGATTCTATAAGGGTCCTATTTTTATTTTTGTGCTGTGCGCATCCCAAAAAGAACACAAATAAAAATTTAAAAGTTCTCGTGTCTTCTTATAACATGCTACGTAATTTTATTCCCAACCTTTATTCTTGTGTTTCGGTGTTTATTATAGAGGGTGGTAGCGTGGTGGTGAGCGGTCTGACGCCGCTAGTGGTGTCCCAGCCCGCCGCCGCCGCGCATCTGCTGCACGCGCACACGCTTACACACAAGGTGACATACACACAACTTTTAGTTTCATATTATTTTTCAGTTGGATGGATTTCTTTTTACTCTCTTACTGCCATTCATTTCATCCCTTCGCATAATAGGTATAACAGTACAAACAAATCAGGCCCTTTACTCTCGAACGCAATCGCGACCAATCGTCGTTGCATAGTTATTGCATTTCATGCATTACTCGTGCAAATAATAATAGTTTTTGTTTCATCGAAATCGGGTCAGGATTTCCGAAGTTACAACGTTGTAAATTTTCCGCGATTTTTTCTATTTCATTTTAATTGTGTTTTTTTCAAATGGCTTATAAACAAATAGTGATTTTCATTCTCTATGGAAACTGAGTGGATTTTTTTTTATTTTCCTTATATTTTTTCAATCTGTTAATGCAATAGCACTAATCATCGTGTTTTTGTGAAAAATATGCCTCCACGAAGATATCCAGTATCGATCGATATATGGTCATGGCCATACACACACAAAAAACATCCAGACCCAGACAAAAAAGTTAAGCTCATCTGTCTTGTGTCTAGCCACACATGACTATAGTACGCAACGAGAAATTAAAACTAACATTTTAAACCATTTGTGATTGGATTTAATAAACATGGGTTCGTTTTTTAAAACAAAAAGTTATCGCAACGCCAATTCAACCGCTCCGTCACGGACATCATTAACTTGCTCATTCAATTAGGTACAGTTATAGATTATGTGTGTGCTATTGCTTAAAAGAAACACTTTTGGATGTATACGTCGTGGGCTAATCAAAATTTGCCCAGGCATATCACGATATGCTGCCATTTCGTTCAAAGTTTAGCATTTGACAATTTGCCCGATATACGCAGGCCAATCGATTTTGTATGATGACCAAAGTGTAAGCAAAGATGTTTTGATATTTCTATCATGTGGTAGGACTGACAGGAACATAAAAAAAACCTCTTTTAAAGTGTTTTTCACTGGAGTTTGGTACACATAGGAACAATACAATATTTCCTAACCTTTATGTTGATTCATTGCTTATACGAAAAATCTAATCTAATATATAGCGAAACCGCAACATCGCAACGAGCTAAAGTATCTAGATGTCCGTAAGTCCCGACTGGCAGTATCGCGAAGTGACGTCACGCGTTAGCGCGGTTGTTTCGGCGGACTTAGCCACGAAGATCGTACTAAAGCGTTTAATATCTCGTTCATTTTTGAAGATTAGAAAAATGAAAACTATTTTTGTTCTCGATTACCTAATTTTTATATACTATATCAAATTGGTGTGACTCACAGAGAGTAAGGGGGCAGGTCTAATGGTAAATAATTAACTTTGGTACAGATGGTGGAAACGCAAATGGTGAAAGGTAACGTCGCACCGCTTACTGTGAGTGCGCAATACCTAAGCGCTACCACTATAGTGAAGCCAGTGGTGGTGGTGAGCGCCTCGCACACGCCTTCCGCGCCCCTCGCGCCCGCCCCCGCCCCGACTGCATCCTCCCCGCCCGCGTGATCCCCGCCGTCGCCCCGCTCACTCCCGCGCCTGCGCCCGCACGTCCGCGTCCTCGCATACACCTTCTGAACGCTTATGAACGCCTGGTACTTCAACTACGGAAAACTGGTTCACCGTAACCCATAATTTCAGAGGAATGTGCAAATTCAGATTGGATGGAAACCGCAAATTTGGATGGTATTGTGGTATTATGGTCGTATGTATGCAGTAGAAAACTATGCCCCAGAGTTTGAAATTCAAAATAGTAAACCCGAAATCTCAGCATTATGGATTCTATTATTTTGGTGCTCGATGTGAGTTGTTTTTTTTTGTGATGGAGTGGAATGTATCTTATTCTCACTTTCTGAGAGGAGTGATTGGTCTTAGAAGAAAAAGTTAAGTCAAGATATGTCTGAAAAGACCAAATCCAAGTCGAAGCTTTTCGAAGGAGACGTGGAAGTGCATGGGAATCTCTATCTGACGATTATTCAAAAGAAAATGTGAAGTAATGTAGAGATTCATATTCTGGGGCCGTGCTCATTTTATGAGATCGAGTGGATGAAAACTCAACGACTGCGTATATTTCTAACGAAGATATAAAATACTGCCAAAGCATTATGTTAGCAATAAATTCGGTGCGAGTGACGTTTCTGTGTTCAGAACGGTCGCGGTGTAGCGCAATGCCGAAGACGTACACCGTCTCTTGTTTAGGCGCAGTGTTAGAGAGTGAATGCTACAGTGTTATAATAGCACTTCTTATATTATGGTCGCGAATGGGAATACAATATATAATTTGAAGATAATGGTGAAGTGGCGATGGATTTTCGCAGTACAACATCGATGTATAATTTGCGTACATCATTGTATTTTTCTATTTATACCATAGTCCATTGTGATCGCATACAATAATTTAATAGTTATCGAAGTGAATGTAAATCCATTATTTAATTTTTATTTATTATTAGTACTTTTAGGGAGCAAAATTTAGTCAAAATTACTGAAACGTCTTGGAGCGGATTCAGTTTTTGTATGTACTATATCATGTTTCATAGTGAATGATAAAAGGGTATATGTTCTAGATACTTATAGCGATGCTATTTCTAAGATTGTAAAAAAAGTGAATAGAATTTTCAAAGTCGCATAATCAGTAATACTGGTGAATTCGTAGGGTAGGGATGAAAGTGTACTTGTTATGTATAGACTAACAAGATAAAAAAGTTTATTTTTTCTATATTGTCTGTGATGTCTGCAGATAACTACTGTAGTGAATTCTGTACAAAGCGTCTCTATATACATAGGTGTTGTCAATTTCTAACAGTATGTGTTATAAAGTCAATAATGATAAACGTGAAATTATGTATAAAAAATTGTGGCTTATAAATGTAAATGCAATATTACTTAATTCGAACATCTTATGTGATAGTTGGCATCAAGCGTCAAGAAACCAGAGGTTGAAGGCGATTTCGCTTCATTCTCTCGAAAAAATTGGGATTGGTTTTGTCAGGTTTGTTTTTCACTGGTGAATGTCGAAATTTACGAGCTTATTTAATTAACACAAAGGTTATATGACTAATAAAGGAGCTATAGGATATTTCATGACTGGCTGAAATTTTTGAAATTCTGTTACATACAGTGATAGGATCATCTTACTACTATATCATATGTATCATAATAGTAATTATCTTAATTATGTATCTACATAAAATAGTTATTTCATAAATATTATTTTCTCATAATGGTAGTTGTACACAAATTCATCCCTTAAGACATACATACAAGTGGGGGAAATTGTTAGAGAACACGAGTATTAATTTCCGGCGTTGTAAGTAAAAATATTTTCATATAGTTCTATGATAGAAATAGGTACCAGGGGAATATGAGATATGAGGAGACGCTAACAACTGGTTTCTTGAAGTGGCACGGGCCGCGCGGCCGTCCTCACCGTGTGCCTAGGCGGATATTAATTAAATGCAAAGCTTCTATCAGTGAAGCTAACTTATTTATACTTATCATACCCTATTTTCTGACAGACCCATGGTATGATAAATATATAAATCGTCGAGTTGTCTATAAAACTAGCTTGACTGATTGCATCATTGTAGTTTGAATATTAAATTTTAACATTAAGCTGATGTTCAAAATTAATATTTGTAATTAAATAAATCTTATTTAATTATTAAGAGGGTATGAATATTATTTCACTCTCACAGTCCGCATTTGTTAAGTTTTAAATTCTTGTTAAATTTACCATCAAAAGTAGGCACTGCTATTCTAATTTTTGTTTTTTTTTTAAGTTGATTTCAATTGAATTTCTTAGTCATTTCAAACTTGTATAAAAATACTTTATAAATGAGTAGTGCTTGCTTAGCCTTATTTTAATATGTGTCTCACTCAATAAGTTGTGTAAAATATAATTATCGTATCGACATTTTTTTGATGTTTGACAAAACGAGATAACATTATAGTGTGTATAACTGAAAAGATGCTGAGTCATGATAAACTAAACTTTCAACTATGTAAAAGAAATTTAAGTTTCCAAATGTTAATACTGTAAATCATATGTGGTTATCGCATGAAAAAATACCCTAGATACAACTTCTCAATCGTGCTCTCTTGACAGAGTGGTCGTGGCTGTTCTGGTGACTGCTTCTGCTAGAAACAACATTACTTACAAATTTGTACCCGAAATGCAAACGAAACTATACATATTTCCATGTCCTCAAATAATTTCTTACTCAAAATAATATTTAGTGTTATTAGTTTAAGATTCCATGTCTTTCGTTGTTCCGTCGGCCTGACCGGCTTTGAACCGTTATTTGCAAGAGCGAGACAGATAGTCTCTAGGATTCCGTGGTGTGTGTAACGTTAGGATTGCCAGTATTTCTTGAGCAAAATATAGTAATTTAAAAAATAATATATTAAAATATATAACATTTCAAAAAATATGTAGTACCTAGCTACTTATAAATTTCTATAGGAACCGAACTTTATTGAGATAAAGCGTTAGAACTAACACGTAATGGAATAAACTTATCTTTTGTACAAATTAATTAAATGAAACCACTTGATCATTTATCTTAGGTCCTTAATTAGCAAAAAAAAAAGAAGTTAAATGTCAGTGTTGAAAATATAGTATTTTTGCGTACTAATAGTACGGAGGCCCAAAATATATAATACTATATATAGATAAACGTATAGTCCGTACTATACGTATTCGATTGGTAACTAGCTATAGCTATCTCTCTCGCTCTACCAAGTTTTATTACGTAGTTATTAAATCGCAAATAAAAATTAGAGTTAATTTACCAATCACATATCTCAACCCTTTTTTAAGCCATTTTCAGCCACAGCCACATATTTCTCCTACTCTAGTATAGCTCTTTTTTTTAAAAACCAATGGACACCTTTTAGGTATAACTTCACATTATTTTGATCTCTTTATGTAAATGTCAACAATTTTTTTTTGTAACACCAATAGTCCTATTGTGATCCATTAATTATTAAAAAAAAAAACTAATAAATCGAGCAGGTGGTAAACCAATGTAGTGATATTATTTTTAGTGAATTTTCCATATACAATGCAGTTTTATATTCTTATCTTGATAAAGTCCATTTAGGTACCTGAGACAGTTTATTTTTTCGAGTATTTTTGTATATAGCACTATGTTTAAAATTTGCTATGTTTGAAATTATAATTGTATAAAAATCAAGAACGACGTATACATATTAAGTTTTATCACGTACCTACATTTCAGTACATTTTTTCCCAATCCAATAAAACTATATATACACACAGCAGCAGGTTATCACGATCTGTCAAAATTACGTAGTATATTTTACTCTTGCCCTCAATGTATTAAGGTTTTGAATCAAGAAGAGAAAGAGTTTTTTATAACCTGGTATGTTATTGAATGTACTTCAAAAGAAGTTTCCCGCTCCATAAGTTGAAAAAGTAGTTTTTGTATAGATTTTTTTATATGCCTTGAATAAAAAAAAAAGCAGGCCTACTATGAAAAACAAAACACTATTTCGGACGTTTTTTTTTCTATGTTCCATTTTCAAACTACTGTCAAAATTTTATTATGTAAGTACTTACGATTTTCGGAGTAAGCCTGCGCTAAATATATTTTATATATAAAAAAATAAGTATATAATTATGTATAAACGCTTTTCGTACTGATTGTTTTCGTCACCTACGCCTAAGGATTGTGAAGAAGAAATAATGTATAATGTAAAATAATATAAAGAGAGAAATTTATTTTAATTGTAATATTGTGAAGCGACAATGCTCATGTAAATAATAAAAATGACGTAGTGTATAAAGTTATAATAATATGTTAGAAATACAAAACAAATTACATATTTTTCTTTGACTTTTATTTAAATACAAACAATGCTATACTCCATTCATTATAACATTAGAAAAAAGAGGATCACAGAAGCAGCAGTGCAGAACATTTTATTTTCAAGATAAATTTTAAAAATATATATAATTGTTTTGTTGAAACTTTGAACGTTAGGTAGTCTGAAAGAGTTGGGCAATTTACCATTTTCTTTTGCGATGAGACTAGAATTTTCTAAATTCATCTTTACTCCCAAGCCAATATGAAATTATAACGTAAGTGTATAATTACAATAGAATTTAGTTATATTTATGGCCAGGAAAGAAAAGTAAACAAAATGAAATTTTTATTATTACTTTTATAACATTTCTTCAGATATTATTAGATTATTGATTAAGATATTGGAAAAACTTCCTGAAATGTCAGAGGTAATTGTTGTAGGCCATCCGGACCTGCACCGGAATCGTCCATATTTAGCAAAACTTAACTACAAAAAGATAACAACTAAAACAAAACTATAAGAAAACAACAATAATACAATAACAACTCAATCACGGACTATGGTAAAACAACAAGAAAGGCAATAACATTCACAATTAATGAGAATCCCAGATTACGTATTTTGACAATTATGAATACATCATAATCTGACAAAATTAAAAAGCTGTACTACCGAAACATACGATATAAAGGAATTAGGCAACGTTTTAAATTTGGTAGAGTAATAGTGACATGAGAATCGTGCCGAGAGTATCCAACCCTGCTTCTCTAGGTTCTTTAAGATGGACACTTTTTATTGTAAAAGTTATTAAATCTATTAAGTTAGTCAAATACTTATAATTTTGTTTAACAGGTAGCTTAAACGACAACTGTTAAGTAT